AAAATAGCTCAATCTTGTCTCTGTTTTGAGATCTATTAGCCTGAAATGCCACATCTGTACAGAACAGGAAAACACTGCTCTTAGTTTACCTTCTCTCTCTCTCTCTCTTTTTTTAAGTGGGCTCCACGCCCAGCGTGGCACCAGACATGGGGCTTGAACTCACAACCCTGAGATCAAGACCTGAGCTGAGATCAGAAGTCAGACGCTTAACCAAGTGAGCCACCCGGCTACCCCAGTTTGCCTTCTCTTTAAAGAAAAGCTGGTGAAGGGGGTAGCCAGAAAATGTGTTAAGTACTGTTTACTGCCCACCTGCTTGATACTGGCATGCATATTTTTCTTTATGTTGTCATTATGTTTCTCTGTGTTGTTACTGTACAGTCATTTTCCCTGAGGTAAAACATTCATGGCACTTGTCATTTATAAAATACCAGGATACTAATTTTAAACTGCCTTCACGAGTGAACAAGAGATCTGGGTCCCAGAAGCCTTTCTTCCATGGTTACGGTTGGCTTAAGTAAAGACCGTGTTGATCTGGAGGATCCCTAACTCTGGAGACTTAACATCTTGGAGAGGCCTGTTGGTGCATTGCTGTAGTGAAAACAGTTACCGTGGTTACTGTGCAAGGCACCTTCTTTTTTCCTGCTTTGGACCAGGCGGCGAACTGGCTGAAAGCGGTCACTTTCCTCCAGTGCCTTTGAGCAGGAAAAATGTCCTCAGATTTAGGCCTGAGCGGCTTTTTATACCTGTATGCTATGTGCCGAGCCCACAACTGGGTAAAGCCCCCTAGGAGCCAGGTGCTTTGAGTCCCTGAAGGCTTCTGGCCACTGGCTGCGTGACAGCTTGGAGCAAGGCCAGTTTTTTTTTCTTTGCTGATAGCTGTTAGAGAAGTGGTTAACAACCTGAGAGAAAGAGCAGTCAGTACAAAAGAGTAAAAAAACATGCGTGCTGCACAAGTCTCCTGGCTGTGCGGCTATAATCGTCTACGGTTATGTAGTGGGAACAAAAGAGACCCAAGTATGACCTTGGGGTAACAATCCACATTGCTGGGGAAAGGATGATTTAAATGTACTTACGTTGTTCTAGATTGTCAACTGCCAGTGGCTGAGTTATCTTTTACCTTTTTTGTCACATAGCATACTGTGAAAATAGTTTGAATGAGACATACGGTGAAAACACAGCTTTCCAAGAGCGCGCAACTTTCCCTTTCAAAACTGCTTTGCATGTGATTTTCTAAAATTACCTGATCTAAATACTGCTTCTCAGTTGTTCAAAATTACAATTTACAGAAAATTTAAATATGAATTAAAATTTTTTAGCATTCTTTGCCAATATTTCAGGGGTTGGCTGTGTAGCTGAGTGTGTCTCACTTTTTGTTAAACAAATAAATGTTTATTGTGGGGGAATCTTGAAAAGAGGGGCAAGTACAAAGAAGAGTAAGCCACTGTAGGCCTGCTGTAAAACAGTGCTGGGCACACGTCAGGCACTTAGATACTCTTTCAGTGAATGCAGAGACACACCTTAATACCCTTTGGGTGTAAATATACTTAAGGTTTTTTTCCTATGTGTATTTGTCTTTTAAAAAAAAAAAATTGGAGTCAAAATGTACAAATACAGTGTAACTTTTTAAATTAAAAAAAGTTATTTTTGACATCTCTTATATTATTATTCTTTGGAGGTAGTGAAGATGTGAATTTGCCTGTGGTCCTTAGCAAGGGGACAACCTTACTTGAGGCAGGTCTGCTAAAGGAAGCTATATAATTTCATTAGGGTAATGATTGCCTTGGATTCCATTAAACATGTGACCTTACTTCCATACCCTTCTTAATAAATATCCCTGGAGTTGGGCCTCTTATCCCTGCTGTCGACAACTGCTTTTAGGCCTTCATACCTCATCCTGCTTACACCTGTCTCCCCAGCCCGTGACACTCTCTGACTCCCTCCCAACTCACCTGCTTACTCCTCCCCATTTCCCTCCTTGAACCACCTGCTCCAACCAAATGATCTTTTCCTGTTGTTCCCTGAACCCACCCCATTTAAAGTCTCCTTTTCCCACCATCCTTCAAGCCAGCATATTGCCCCTTTTTCTTCACTCACTTATTTGCTGTGAGGTCTTGCTCCAAATCCTGCATTTTCTGTTAACCGGCTTATATTAGTAAGGTATGGGGATCTCGAGGGGTAGGATTCTGGAGTGTCCCACTATAGAGGGGCTTGTGTAAGTTTCAAGTAAATAGTTTTTTGTGTTTTTTTCCTTTTGCTTGTTTTTTGTTGTTGTTTGTTTTGTAAAGGCCTATGATTAACTTTTAAAACTTTAAGTTGGTAGTTATAAAAGTAAACTCCTTCTCCCTGGACCCTGCCCCTCCAAAAAAGGGAGAGAGAGAGAGAAAGTAAGAAATTGGCATATGCTTGCCCTGACATTTTCTTCTCTGTGGCAATTAAAACTGTTCAAGAAATTCTTACACGTTAGTTAGTTCTCTGTTGATTTTTTTGTCTTGAGATAACATGGCTAACTTGGTTTCATCACTTCTCTGAGTTTTGATTGTATTTCCTGCCTCCTGTCATCAAACTCTGCCTTCAACATTACATACTTTGTAATGAAAATAGTCTTGCCGTGGGGGGTCCACACTAGTCATTTGATATAGTTAACCCGGGCCACTCTGATAGTCACAGGTCTGGTCTTGACTTAACCAAATGTAGTTTTAGGCCTTCTAAGTATTTGTTTCTCTTAACCAATTGAGCAATGGGGTTTTTATTGGCATTCTTCCCATCTGCATGTGAGGAAGCCACATAGTTAAAACTTTTGAAAAAGGCTTGGACCCTGCTTTGAACTTAATTTCTAACTCCAGAATAATAAAATGTGTTGGCGACAGAATGGGCCAAGAACGTGTGGGTAATGTAGTACAGTGGCTAGCCACAAGCCAGTTGGTGCAGAATTTGGATCCTGTGAGTATCTTACGACCTTGAACCTCAGGTTCTGCTTCTGTGAAATGAGCAGGGAAGGTTCTGGGGACGATTAACTGTTTCCTTTCCACGTTCCTTTGCAGCGTTCAGTAAAGAGCTCCGAAGACTAGGAGGTGAGCCCAGGCTTTCTGAAGGGTGAAGTCTTAGGCTAGACCGTGAAGGCAGGCTAAAGATGCCATTAAGTGGAGTGGAGAAAAAAAGGCAATCTGGGTGTGGGAGCCATTTGAGCAGGGGACCTTGAAAGCATGTGCAGGGCCGGGGACTTGAGGAAAGGAGTGCATGGAGAAGTGTGTCAGAGGACTAGGAGAGAGTCTGCAATGTGAGGGAGGAGGAAGATCTTATAATCCAGGTGTGAGGCGATGAGAGTACAGGTGAGGATAGTTGCACCAGGAGTGGTGGGGAAAGGGGAGCTGCTAGGGGCGTTTCCAGGAAGAATCCTCAGGGCTGCAGTATGAGGCCCTGGGATGAGAGAAATTGCGAGGGTGTAAGGCAGGCGATCACTGTGTCATTCATTCATTCATTCATTCATTCATTCATTCATTCTTAAAATATTGAAATTGAAAATCTGATGCTGCAAGGTTCTGTTCTAGGTAGTGGGGATTAATCACTAAATAAAACATGGGGCACCTGGGTGGCTCAGTCAGTTAAGCGTCTGCCTTTGGCTCAGGTCATGATCTCAGGGTCCTGGGATCAAATCCAGTGTCAGGCTGTCTGCTCAGCGGGGAGTCTGCTTCTCCCTCTCACTCTCCCTCTGTGCCTCCCTCCCTTCTCTCTCAAATAAATAAATAAAATCTTTAAAAAATCACTAAAACAGAAGTCCCTGCTCTTTTGAAATGTATTTTCTAGTGTTAATTGTGTTAAAATTTTAGTGGCAATAATTTTGGCACCTTGAGATGTCATTAGCTAGCTCATGATTCTTTTATCCTGTCTAAAAGTCAAGAGGGAAATGTCGATAAAAGCACATCCAATATCTTTAAGAAATCGATATACAGTATTTTTATGTTTTGGGACTGTGAAGATAAGAATGAAACTGTTAACCTGAAAATGCTATGTTTTACTGATCAAAGGAAGTGGTGCTACTATAGATTTAGTAATTTGCCTTATAGTCAATACATTTCAGGGAATGTCATGAAGTTCGGACACCTAGGGAATTGTTGTTGAGTTGTCAAAGGTTCCTTTTGTAGGCTTTCTTTGGGATTAAAATTAGGTTCATTTAACAACCAGGCGGAAGTAATTAGATTGAACAAGACTTTAGTACTTGATGGCTTTTTTCCAAGTGATTTTGTCAGCTTATTTTTGAATGAGTGCTGTGATATTTTAATTTTCAGTCTGTTTTCTTCAGTTCTTTAAGGTGCAAGAACTTGTTAGTACCAGATAATTCCTTAACAAAAAATGTTGGCATAAAGAATAAAAAAGTTTGAAAAACAGAATATAATTTTTCACGGTGTTTTGAAAGCTTGAATTAGAAGAATATTTTATAATTCTGTGGTGCATTTAAATATTCATTTAGCGAGGAAAACTTTCCTCTTTTTTGCTTAATGTACTTAGTTGTGTTTCATAGTGTTTTTATAGTAACCACAATTACTCAGATATAGAAATAGAGCATAAGGTTTACTCATAATTTTTTTTTTTTAAAGATTTTATTTATTTATTTGACAGAGAGACACAGCCAGAGAAGGAACATAAGCAGGGGGAGTGGGAGAGGGAGAAGCAGGCGTCCTACGGAGCAGGGAACCCAATGCAGGGCTCGATCCCAGGACCCTGGGATCATGACCTGAGCCGAAGGCAGCTGCTTAACTGACTGAGCCACCCAGGCGCCCCAGTTTACTCATAATTCTTAATGAAAGAAATAAAGAGCTTTGGGCTTTATAGTACTGATAAGATTTCATGCAATAAAGGAATGTTAAAAATATTCTAAAAACATGGTTAAGATTCTGAACTGCTATAAATATATTACCTCGCAGTATCTGAATTTCTCAGTTTAAGATAAGCAGATGTGTTTTTCTTAAGAATGATTTGATTTTTTAAAAAATTTCCTTTAGGTAAAAGTGCAGTTTTAAAGTGTCTACTGGATGTTCACAAAATTTTTCAGGAAAATGACCCCGCTTATATTCTGAATGATCTCTACATCTCAGACTACTGTGTGTGGATTCAGAAAGCCAAGTAAGTTTTGAGTTACTTATGAATTTTACATACTCCCCATTTCTGGAATGCCTCCTGACCTGGGAGGAAGCAAATGAAATAGCCTGGGAGGTAAGTTGTAATGAAAAAGAAACCCCATCTAGCTACCAAACGCTTTAAAGAAGATCAACATAGGGAGCTTGGCAAATTTGCTTCGGGAGGAGGTGCAGATGGAAAAGTTCATTTTACTGGGAAGCATGGTTCTAGCCTAGAAAATAGGCATGCAGACAGACAGTTGTGACCATTCATTGCTATGTTATTGACTGTCCAATATAAAATCTCAAAGTTTCATCCTTGAGTATCCAAACTTGTGTCTGCAGATTACTTACATTGGGGGGGTGTAAGTGAGTGAGTGTGTGTGTGTGCATACTGGGCACCTGTGTAAACATGACGGGGCACAGACCTAATCAGCTATCATCCCATTGGCTAACTACTTCTTACAGAATCCATTCTTCAGAGTATAAAAAAGACAACCTTCAAAGCTTCATAACATGATTCTTGGTAACTAACACATGCATCTAAGGGACCAAACGCTCACCAACGTGATATATATAAGGTTTGCCCAAAGTGTTTACCATTGCCTCCCTCGGGTAACCCTATGAAGTTTAAAAAGGCAATGAACTTTTATTTTGTGAAAAGGTTCAACAGCTATACCCAAATTATCCATTTCAGTAGCAGAAGATAATTAATTGAGAGCACACAAATAGAGCTCTTGATGGGAGGGCTTCTTAGGTCTCTGGAAAATGATGGCCCAATATCATTCTTTTTTTTTTTTTTTAAGATTTTATTTATTTGAGAGGGAGAGAGACAGAGAGGCAACACAAGCAGGGGGAGTGGGAGAGGGAGAAGCAGGCCTCCCGTGGAGCAGGGAGCCCGATGTGGGGCTCAATCCCAGGACCCTGGGATCATGACCTGAGCCGAAGGCAGATGCTTAATGGACTGAGCCACCCAGGCGCCCCCGCAGTATCATTCTTGACTTAGAAGAAAAACAATCATGATAGTTGTCCCATCGCTGTGATTGGTCAGTGAGTGCTTTAGTATACCTTTAGTGCCTGTTCTGAGTGAGCCACTATATAGAATTTATTTTTGGCTTCTGTTCATGGGGAAGCAATTATATGCAGAGTGAAATAAGACAAAACTGGAGGCTCTGTGTGTTGTAAGGAGAAACCCATGGTCTGCTCTCATAAGGCCTACTACCGTACAGCAGGTGGCGGCAGTGTTTGTGGCGGAAATCTCGGTTTCGCCAGATGGAAAATTGCATCTTTAACCCCTGAGGTCATCATGGCATGTCATCACTTCATTTCATCCTCCTGCTAATTGAGCTTATCAAGTACCCTGCTGCCACTTCCTGTTGTTTTCATAATAAAATTAAATTGAAATAGTCTATTTGTGTGGGTTTAGGTTTTTCTTGTTCCCTTCAGGGTGAGGATTTTATAAACATGTAATGAGCATTGAGGTTTGTGTGAGGATCCCATTTCTATGAGCGCCTCTTTTCTCTGTGGCATTCCTTATTAACTGGAGAGGAGATCGTGTTTCATTAAAGTGGAAGGGTGTGTGCCCTCATGTCCGTGTGGGGATTAGCACACCTCCTTGCGCTTAAAAAAAAAATCCTTTACCCTTGGTTTTAAGTTGCCGGAAATGAGATGAAATTCTTAGGTCCCTAATAATTGTTATGATAACGGTAATTTTTTCAAAGAGATACAATGTATTGGGAAGCGAGACAGGAGAGGGAAACCAGCAGGAACTCTTCAGATTACTTTGGAAGAATTTTTTCGACTTAATAGCCTCTCTTGTTTTCACTTTGTATCTTATTTTTTTTTTAAAGATTTTTATTTATTTATTTGACAGAGAGAGAGACAGCGAGAGAGGGAACACAAGCAGGGGGAGTGGGAGAGGGAGAAGCAGGCTTCCCGCTGAGCAGGGAGCCCGATGTGGGGCTCCATCCCAGGACCCTGGGATCGTGACCTGAGCCACCCAGGCACCCCTCACTTTGTATCTTATATTTTAACTCTAGTTGAGCCTATTTTTTTCTGCCTTGAAATAACACATTTGTTCATTTACCTGATTTTTATTAAATTTTCTAATTTAATCCTTAATTTTTCAAACACAACAAAATTGAGCTTTCCAATATCATTTTTACTGTGAACTGTCTTGGCTCTAAATTAATTATACTGCAGTGAATGTTCATGATTTTCATAACGAATTTCTTCCTCACCTTTCACCTTCTGGTTTCTTTCTTTCCCATATAGTTAGTTTACCAGTGAAATCTAGCTCCTTATTTTAATATTTTAAAATAGTTCTGTATTTTCCTTAATCCCTATTTGATGTTTTTGATTATAATAATAAAGACTGAAATTATATTTAAAATAGCAGACAAGTGCTAAATTATGAGCACAAAGAACAGCATTTCATTTTTGCAGTCAGACACTCACTTTGGCAAAAACTTGCTGGAATGTGGGTAGCAAAGTCATTCTTACATTGAATTAATGGAGTTCGGTCAACAGTTAAATCCTAAGTTGTGCTCTATACTGTGTAGTTATTTTTCCTTGTGATATCTGTGTCTCATAGAGTATACTTGCAGATTTTCAAAACGGAAGGTCCTGTGTTATTCTGAGTGACAGACAGCAAATTATTTTTCTGGAGCCCGGTGATGGGTATTAAGGAGGGCACATATTGCATGGAGCACTGGGTATTATATGCGAACAATGAATCATGGAACACTACATCAAAAACTAATGTTGTCCTGTATGGTGACTAACATAAAAAAATTTATTAAAAAAAAAAAAAAACACTCCCTGCCATCCTTCACCGCAAGCTTCCCTGGAAATTTCGAGTGCGGTGGTCACGGCTGCAGATGCTCCCTGAGTGGCAGCATGAAGAAGTGATTTGCTTGAGGTCATACAGCCCCTAAGAGATAGGTGTCTGATAGTCTCAGGGTTTTCTGGGTCTGGATTTTATGTTTTCCCAGATAGGCCACCTAGACAACCAGTTTTTTTTACCCATGGCATGTGGGAAAAAACACCAAAAAACAGAAGAAAAAAGCCGTCCCTTTAGGGAGCTTTTTCTATAGAAGGAGGAATTAATGACTCACTTGTCTTCCTCCTGGATGCTCCCATAGCACTTGGTTTAGAATGTATGAGCACATCTCATGCCTGCCTCATTTTGTAGTAATTTTTTTTTTTTTATTTGACAGAGACACAGCGAGAGAGGGAACACAAGCAGGGGGAGTGGGAGAGGGAGAAGCAGGCTTCCCGCGGAGCAGGGAGCCCGATGTGGGGCTCGATCCCAGGACCCTGGGATCATGACCTGAGCCGAAGGCAGACGCTTAACAACTGAGCCACCCAGGCACCCCCATTTTGTAGTAATTTAAGTGCTTATATCTTTCCCCCTCTGAAATTTTAAAGTCCCTGTGAATGAGCACCTGTTTGGGGCCCATCACAGTCCCTTAGGAGCACAGTTTTCATTAAATTGAAAGGTACCTAGTACAGCCAATTAAAAGAGCATTTTTCATCATTAAAAAAAAAAGCATAAACTTTAAAAACTATGCATTGGCTCTTACTTCTTTTTTTCCTCTTATTTTAATTGACATTTTCAGTTACATTCAGATTTTACCCTTCCCTGATTTTCCTGGTGAGCTGCATTTATCAGTAGCAGGGATAGTTCTAACCCTCTGAAAGTTCATACCCTTTTATGTAAGTGGGGAGAGAAAAGCATGAGCTGTAATATATGTTCCAGTTTTTCCTCTCATTGGCCATAAGACTTTAGCAGGTCACTTCATCACTTTAATGCAGCCAGCGTTAGTATTTTAATATTTCCTCTACTTATTTTCCAGTGCATTTTTTAAACCAGTGAAAATAATACTGCACTTACCATTTTGTAACTTGTCTTATCCTTATAGTAGTACCCTGTAAATCATTTTCGTTTATAACAATATAGCATGGTATTTTTTTAAAAAATAACTAATTTTTTTCTCATTATAAAAGAAGTATATGCCCACTGAAGAAAATTTGATACTTTATGGTTTTAATGCACGGTGTATATTGAAACATAAGAGATCAAATTGGGTATTATTTTGTTTTGGCTACATTTGAAAAATTTTGGTGGTTTCTTTTTAAAAAAAAAAAATGAAATTAAAATCTAAAATCCTGGCTGTCTTTAGTCTAAGTTTGAGCTAGTCATGAGGGTGTTAAATCACACCTTTTCTCTCTAATATAGTTTTTTTAAGGTAGTTGGTTATGGGGAGAAGAACAAAAATGTCTTTGATGTGCTGAGCCATTTTACATTGAACTGATAGTTTACCCTGACAAATACATTTGGTGCATTTATTATTTTCACTGCTTTTTAGCATACTTTGCTCCACCAAATCTTATTGGCGTCCTTTGGACTCAAAGGTGCAAAGTCTGTGGAGGGAAATCATTCTATCACTGAATAATTCTGTTTCATTTGATAAATCTTGCACCTTAGTTTCCTCAGTTGTGAGTGAACATAAAGCTATTTCAGCACTGTAATCTTAAAGTTCTAGAAAACTTAGGACCTCATCATTGCTTTATACTGTTTCCGTTGCTTCCTCTGTGTATGTGCTTTGGTAGGGGATAGGGTTATGTGCCTGGAAATAGCATAAATCTCTCCGATCGGGCCCTCTCTTGTTCTTGATTTATCTGCCAAAAGTCATGGGTGTGGGGGTAACTCAAATGCCAAGGTAAAACATCAGCATTGAGTGTAAAAGGAGAATTATTTATTTTTTCAACTGCTGATTATGGAGCCCTTCTATATATGCTACGTACTGAGGTTGGCGATGGGGATGCTCGGGTGGACGAGAGACACGCCATGTTACAACTGCTCTTGCGGTGGGGAGTATAGATGGGAGCGGAGTGCAGTCCTGTAGCCTGCGAGCGGCTACGGTAGGGAAGCGTGGATGCTGTGGAAGCACTTAGGAAGCCACATGTCTAGCCTTGGGGTAGAGGAAACAGCTTCTGGAAGGA